ACTCAAAGCCTCTTATTGAGTAGATTTTCCAGATTAAATATCCTTAGCCTCTTATTGAGTAGATTTTCCAGATTAAATATCCTTAGCTTCTTATTGAGTAGATTTTCCAAATAAATATCCTTAAATATATTTTTAATAAATTATATTAGATTAAATCTGATTTAATAAGTGCCAAAAAAAAGAATTAGACGGTAAATGGTCATATTTGAGAAAATTTATTTCTAAAATAATTCATTTTCTATAAAATCATTCTCTGTAAAATTCTTCAATATAAAATTATTAATCCTTCCCTATAAAATAATTCGCACTAAAACAATTCTCTGTAAAATAATTCTCTGTAAAATAATTCTCTGTAAAATAATTCTCTGTAAAACAATTCTCTGCAAAAATATTATCTATAAAATCATTCTCTATAAAAGAGATTCTCTATAAAATCATTCTCTGTAAATGAGATTCTCTATAAACGACATTCTCTATAATTGTTTTCTCTTTAAAAGTTTCTCTATAAAATAAATTCTCTATAAAATCATTCTCTATAAACGAGATTCTCTACAAAATCATTCTCTGTAAACGAGATTCTCTACAAAATCATTCTCTATAAATGAGATTCTCTATAAACGACATTCTCTATAATTGTTTTCTCTTTAAAAGTTTCTCTATAAAATAAATTCTCTATAAAATCATTCTCTATAAACGATATTCTTTATAAACGACATTCTCTACAATTGTTTTCTCTCTAAAGGTTTCTCTATATTTGCATTCTCTATAAAAGATTCTCTGTAAAGACGGGATACCAAATTTTTATATATCATGTTTATATTTTTACTTAAAAAATTAGCGATCAAAAGATATATCAGAAAAAAATACGTAAAAATAATATTAAAAATTAGCGATCAAAAGATAAATCAGGAAAAAATACGTAAAAAATAATATTAAAAAATATTAAAAATTAGCGATCAAAAATCATTTTATAAAAATATTATATTTAAAACAAATTATATTATCTAAAAAAAATTATAAATTAAGTAAAATAATAATCTTAAAAAATTATTAATAATATAATATTACAAAAATAATACATTGCCTAAATAACTAATTCACCCTGCCTACCATCGTAACACATTGCCTAAAATAATCAGGCAATGTGTACATTGCCGAAAATAACACATTGACGCTAACATATACAAAAGAATTACAAATAAAATTCATTATTGTTTTTAAAACAATCGATTTAATAGCAGGTTTATAAGCAATACTTAAATGTAGGACAGCTATCCTTTCCTCCGATATCTTACATTTTAATCAAATGTCATAATCATGTTTTTAAAACAACAAATTTTAATTATTTTGGATCATTTTATAAATTTTTGAAATAGAGAAACATCTTTCGTGTGAGGCTGGAAAAAAAACAAAAAAATAAGCTAGAAATTATTCTATTTTAGCTTGGCGCTCGAAAAAAATATTTCTACGATTATTTTTATTCGCTCTGATAGATACCACACTGGCTAACTATTAGATCCGATCCTCATATAATATCTAATCAGAAATATTAAAGCTATGAAAAAAAAATTCAATTCTTCTGTGAATAATTGTTAACAGTATTTTCATTTCTTAAGATATTTCAGCAGAGTTTTTAAAAATAAGTTCAAAAATTTTTTATTTTAAAAAAGATTTCTGACAAATCTTACCTAAAAATGTCAAATATTTTTTGTAAAAAACTTTTATTAGTAAATATCTTGTAATTTGCATACATAAAAAAATCTTTCCATATGAAATCAATTTTTTTTTTTAAAAACTTTCTAAATAAATTTTAAGATTTTTTTCAAATGTATTTCATAAACTGGTAGTTTGTTATCTTGATTAAATTAGGCGATAAAATAGCTGAAGTAGATTAATATTTCGAAGCAAAAATTTTTCAATTCCTTATCTTTATTTTCATCCTCTACTGTAAAATCTAATTAATTTTTTATAAGGAATATGAATCAACTATTGATGCGAAAGAAAGTCTAAAATAGCATCCTACTAATATTAACAATATTTAACTGCTATATTAGTTTATCTGTTTACCTTTTACTTTTTAATCTAATTAATATTTTTGAAATGACATAGAAAATACATTTGACCATAGCATATTAATATCCAGGATTATATAAATATGAGTTATGCAAAATATTTTCAATCAATCACTTAACAAAAGCACATAATAACTAGAAAAGTATTTAACGCCATCTATCAAATTAAATAATTATATTTTATCAGTTACATTATTTAATTAGTGTTTAACATAATTAACTTGATTTTTTTTTTAAACTTAATATTATTTTAAATTTACATTTTTCTAGGTTGGATAGTATTATCTACTTGTATTTAAAACGTTCATTCTCAAAGTGAAACCGAAAAAATAATTTTTTTTAAAGATGATGATAGATCTAGAAGATTTAGATTCTATTCAAACCAAGTTATGATTATCATGTTAAGATGTCTTTAGCAGAGTATCTGGAAAATCCTCCACATTCCCTACATGTATTTTAACCAGGGATCCAAACCGAAACGAATATCGGTTCGGGTTCAGGTTTGGATAAAAATAACGATTCAAGGTTCAGGTTCGGTTCGTAAAAATTAAAATATCGGTTCAGTTCGAACCACTAAAAACCGGTTTGAACACTTTTGTATTCAAAGCTACATTCGAATTATGTATAGAGAAAATATTTTTTTATTTTATCATTAATTTAAAACACATATAAAACCTACAATTTTTATTAATTGCACATTATAAAATAAAATTTAATTTATAAATATAAAAATAAATATCAATGATTAATTTTAATATGAACAATATTTTACTTTTTTTTATTAAAATTTTTTTTTATTTAGCCACACAATTAATATATTTTCAAAATTCGTCCCACTCAAATTACATCTATAAGGAGATAGTATAAAAATTGTTGAAAAACATCTTTCCATAGTCAACACTAACTCTGGTAGCCGGCACTGCCAATATGATATCAGATTTGATATGTGATTTATAATATTATTTTGGATTTAATTTTTCTCTAAGCATTATAATTTATAAGCTTAGAGGAAAATGTTGTTAAATGACAATTTACTAAAGTTTACAAAAATTATGACCGACACTTATCAATCAAACGTGATTGATGATAATCTTTAAAATAATTAGAATATAATTGAATTTTTTTCAATATACTAATAATAACTTACATATTATTTTATAAGCATAAAATCATGAAGCTTGAACCGGTTCAGAGGCATTTTAGCGGTTCGGTTCAGGTTCGATTTGAACGATATTATGTGTAAGCTACTTCAAAATATCTTCCTTTATCAATAGTAAAATAAAAGCCCAATGAATTAATTGAAAGTGTTTTTCATATGTTTGTTCTATAATTCTGTGATATAATTCTAAAATAAAAATACCTGTAAATTTTTCTATACGATATTATTATTTACACAATTTTTAGTTGATTATATACATAAATAAAATTGTCACTGGTGATATAAAAATTATTCTTCAAATATTTGTATTAAATCAAAGATCTGCGATATTTTTTGATTAGTTTATTTTTAGCCCGTTAAGATTTTTTGCACAAGTTGCATGGCCCTCCCGTTATTTAGATGCTTGTCCCACCCGTCCAGGCCAGATAATTTTTTTTACCAATTTCCCCCCTCCTTCATTTAATATGAAAAGTCCGGCCCGAACCTTTTAATACTCTATCCAATTTTTCACAGGGTCAAATAAGGCTCTTATACTTATTTATGACTATTTGTTTCTATAACGGCAGTTTTATAAATCAATTTTGTAATTGAATAATATCAATCATAAATAACTCCCTTAATTTTTTATATACTCAATATTTTATTTATATATTTAATATTATTTTGTAAAGAAATTAGCATATTGTAATTTATTTTCATACTCCATAACCGCTCCTTTGATTTTCATTTTTTTAGAAGGTATACGAAACAAAATCATATTTTTATATATATTAAATGATTCATCAAAATATTTATAACCTTTTATTAGCTTTTAAAAGTAATAAATTTTCAAAATTAGAATCTAACAAACATCCACGCCTATACCCTAAGACCTCTTTTGCAATACTAAATTTATAGCTCCACAGGAGCTATAGAGGAAAGCTGGGTATTGTATTTTATAAAGATATTTTTGAATTCAGGGAATTTAAAAATAGTAATTTTGGTATCAATATTTAAAAAATGTTTGTCCAATATATTACCTTCCTGGTGATTAATTTCATGGAATCCAAAAAAATCTTTCAAATCATTTTGTATTTAAAAGAAAGATTTTTTAAATTTAGATGCTTTTTTAGATTGAAGCTGCTCACTTTTGAAAATTAAATAGTTTTATTTAAACACAAAAGGCATTTTGCCCTTAAATTTGTTTGATCATTTGGATCAACATCTTTTAGAAGTTTAAAACATTTTTTGTATGATGGAAATGGAAATTCGATTTCTTCATCTATGATCTCTAAATCCATAATATCTAAAACTATTTTTTATTATATATCTATGAAATAAATATTAATATGACCTACAATATTTTCCAAAAAATTTTCAATATAAAAAGGAAAAACTTGATGTTTAATATTTAAAATGATTAGATGAAAAATCAATATAAAACTCGGCTAAATATTTAATAATGAAATTTAAATAAAATAAAATAAAATTTCATTTTTATTGAATTTTAATTAACAAATATTTTTAATATTTAAAAAATAATTTTATTTATACATTAAATTTAAAGGAGCATTGGAGCTGCGCTCTTCCACTCCAGCCCTAAAAGGAGCTAGCCCCCGCTCCGCATTTTTAAAATTGAAAATATTTTGCGGCACTCCTATAGCGCCCGCTACTTAACAACTCTGATTTTTATATTTGAATACGTTTGTTTGAAAATTTGCCCAACCCTGATCTTACTAGTAGATTTTATAAGTTTGATTCTTCGAAATTAAATTTATATATTTACAAAGGTAAATACTGCTATCCGCAAACATCAAAATTTATCGCAACACCAATGTCTCAATTATTGGGTTACCAAGAGATCCTAAAATTAATAGATATTTTTGAACGTCACGGAGATATCAAAAAAATTAGACTGACTGGAGGAGAACCCCTAATGAGAAAGGATACTATCCGTATAATCGGTTTATTATGAGTTTTATGAAGATATTGACAATTATATTAAATATACATTCTATCATATTTTTCTTTGTTTTCGAACAGAAACTTACATTATGAGTGCACAAAATTTGTACGCAACATTTAAAAATAAATATCCTTATTCAATTCGAACATTTATTAGATAAGAATTATTTAAAAAATGTCAAAATTTCTAATATCTCAACCCTATTTTACAGTGTTTTCGAAAAAGTCCATTTTAAATCGAACATTTTTTTAAAAAAAATCGAATTCTTATTTTTTTTAAATAAATTTCATTTAATAAAATTATAATTACAATTTTTTTTAACTGTTAAACACTTAATTAATATTAAAATCAGGCCTCCACGCATAATAGGATTTTTCTTATAGATATAATAAAAATTATTAAAATCGCACCATGGGTTGAGTTGTACAACCTGGAAAAAAATTACAATTAAATGAGAAAGAAAATTGAAATTTTCTACCAACCCTTTTCAATTTCGATGAAATTTTATATAGATCAAAACAAAATTTTAGCCCATTAGGTTACAAAAATCGACCATTATTTTTTTTTACCCTTTGTCGATGTAATTAAAAACTAAATTAATTTGCTTAAATTTTATATGGGGAAAAAATAAAAATGAAGCATTTGGGTTAGAGGTCTGCATTGGGCGGGGTTTCGGCCCGCTAGCCCATCTAAGTAAAATTTTTAAGAATGGGCAGCGGGAGCGGGTTAAAAAATTTTAAACTCTGGGCGGGTGGGTGGGCGGTTTAAGAAATTTAAACAATGGGCGGGCGGGATAAAAAAAATAAACATCATTTATGTAAATATTATTAAAAAATTGATCCTATGAACTCTTTTGGATATTAAAAATTAAAATGTTTTTTTGGTATCATAAAAACTTTTTTCTTTAGAATAAATAAACTTTTTTGTATATTTAAAACTACTTTGGAGGAAACGACAAGAAAGAGAATTGCTAAAGCTATCAAGATTAGCTAGAAAAATAGTGGCAATTCCTGCAACTAGTGTTTCATCTGAACGAGGATTTACCATTGCTGGAAGGTTTATGGAACAAAGAAGAACGTGTTTGAATCCAGAAAATGTCGATTCATTATTATTTTTGCATTATTAATTACATATAATATCAATTTTATATTATTTTCATAAATATTTTATTTGATTAAATAAATTATCCATAATTTAAATTGAATATTTTTTATGATATAGTAATTTCCTAAAAACTTTTTGTAGAGGTTAATGCTGATATTTTTTTTTATTAGATGCTTAAAAAATTGAAAGAATTGCCATAAGTAAATTTTATAACAGCAGGCTTGGGTTAAAGATTTTTTTATAAATAATGGGTGGGCTGGTAAAAAATTTTAGACTAATGGGCAAGCGGGCAGGTATATTTTTATTGAAAACTATGGGCGGGCGGGTTAAATTGTTTTTAAAACATTGAATGGTCAGGCTTATGGTTCAAAACCCGCCCAATGCAGACCTCTAATTTGGATACATTGTAATCTTATGTTCAGTTGAAACCTTAAAATTTAATTCTCAATCTAATTTTTTTCATACTGCTCGATTGCATAATTTCCTTCGAAAATATCATAATTAATTTATAAAAAACTATAAATGGCGCTATATATAAACGTTTGTATTTCAATACAATAAAGAGAGAGCCTTTTTTAGGCAAAATATTGATTTAAAAGTAATATGTATATTTAAAAAATTTTTTTTTATTCTTATTGATTAAAAAAGATTTTTTTAAAATCAATATCCATGATATTATTCATAAATCAATTACAATGCCTTAACATGGTTTTGAAACTTAAAAAAATCTTTTAAAACGTTCATATATACTTTTTATACATTATTGGCTTATTTTTTGATAAAATTAAGCAACCCCACTAATTATAGAATTATTAAAAAAACATAAGCAAACATTAGGAAAAAAATGTGCACCTAGTTATTTTGAAAACTAAATTTTAAACCTTTAAATGGACATAAAATTGTCATGCAAATCAACAATGATTTATCTTTAAAAAATAAACTATCACTTCAATTATTTAAGAAAATTCATCTAAAATGGCATTTTATCGGATCGAAAAATTTAATAATATTGGCCGATAACCGATATTTATAAAAAGACAAAAATTGGTTCGATCCGATAGAAAAATATCGATATATTCTTACCTATCAGTTTAAAATTAAGTTTTGAGTGATCATTTTTTTTCATTATAATATTAAAAATTAACTATTTTTTTTCTTACAGACCACATAACAAAACACACCGGAATAAAAATAGTGGGATTGACAACAAATGGATACTATTTAGACCAAAAGGTAGGTGATTTAAAGGAGGCGGGGCTTACAAATCTAAACATCAGCTTAGACACGCTAGACCCTGATAAGTTTTCCTATATTACTGGTAGATAAATAATAAAAGTGCCCCATTCCAAAAAATGGAAAAGGTTCAATCAAAGAAGTATAAGTTTGTTATATAAATAACAGTATATAATAAAAAAAAACAATGCAAGAGTTTTAAAGGAAAAGATTCAAACGAAAAATTTTGTTTATATAGCTAAGTTATCCAATTAATATTTTATTTTAAAAAGGTCAAAAATTGAAGGTCAAAACAACCAAAACTATTCATACACTTAACTCAACCGAACGTTTCGAAAAAGTTTATAATACGATGTTATCCTGCGTTCAAAATAAAGATTTTCCGGTTATCAAAGTATTTTTTTAAAAAACAAGTTATAATTATATATAGCCTTAGAGATTTTTATATCCTATATTTTATTCATAATTTAGGAAAATACTTTTACATGAAATGTAATACATTATTTTTTAAGTAACGTTGACAGCGCTAGGCCGTATTTTAATCTTTATATACCCAGGCTTGCTCTAAATTGAAAATTGATATAATATTAAGGCCGGGCCTGAAAATTTGAAAAATTCGGGAGCCTGAATATATAAAACCTGGGCCTGGCCATGCAAATGGTACCTCTGCTGGTCTCTGATATAAATTATGATATTATTTTGTATATTTATAACATCAACAGATTAATTGCGTAATCATGAAAGACTTCAATGAAACTGAGATAATCGATTTTGTGAATTTGACCAAATATCACGTAAGTATGAAATAGATATGGTTTTAAATTATATTTTTATAAAGTTGTATAAAATTTTGAAAAACTGGATATTGTTATTTGACTTGACACTCTAAAGTGCTACAGAATCTAACAAATTTGTTTTTTAAATAAAAAGAAAACTTTTCTGCTGTGTCCTTGCCGTCCTTTTTTTTAAACTGAATTGCTTTCTGAATAGAATGTTGTCTTTAGAAAATGAATAAATAAATTTTAAATTAAGAATATATATTTTTTTAACCAATTTATAGATGATGAATAAACATATTCTAATATCATCTTTTATCAAAAATATTCATTTTATCAAATAATTCTCAACGATCATAAAAATCAGATATAAAACTTAACATATAAAAGCAAATAAACTAAATATAATATGAAAATTAGTATTTACATGATTAATAAATTATTATACATAATCAGAGTTTATAACCTGGACTAGAGTTCTGGTTTCAGTTCTAAATATTTTTTTTACAAATAGATTCCGATTCAAATATTTTACTCGGTTCTACATATGGTTCCAAATTCTGTTATTTAATTTTTTTAAAAATACAATAAATAAATATATAAACCCCATAAAATGAGTCACACATGACATTTTAAAACAATATATATATAATTTATTGCCCTTTTCTTAAAACTGGTTCATGGAAATTTTTAAATGGGTTGTGCTTTATAGATTTATCCAGGTTTCGGCTCAGGTATTAAACTCTACATAATATGTGAGGTAGTGTTGTTAAGTTAAGTTAATTCGAACATAAGTTTTTATTTATCTATCCCCTTTAATCGGACTATAACTCCTGTGGGTTAGGTCTCTTGAAGATTTTCAAACTTGATCCTCTTTATTAATGTACCTCCGAATCTTCTATTGTGTAGTTGGCCTAGGTTATTAAAATCGACTGAAAACTATCTTCATGAACTGATTGACATGTTTTTCTCATAATTTTATTCTTTACCTAAATATGACAATATGAATCTTTTCTATCAATGATTTTCCCAGTCACGCAACTCCTACCATTAATCCCCTTCACACACACGCTTATTTATTTCCAAATTTTTCTTTGCAAAATGTCGTAAATGTTTATGCGATCACAACATCTCTTGAATTTATTCTCAAGGAATAACGGTTCTAATATTTTCAGATGTACCAATATCACTTTTTAGCCGTTACCAAAAATAATAATATAATATTTATTTGGGGGGGGGGGGATATATCATCAATATCATTTATTTTTTATAATTAATTTCTAAAATTTATACAGGGTTAAGATGTGATTTTTATAATACACATTTAAAAAAATAAGACAATGTGTGTTTATATTTTTGCATATTACTTAATTACGATTCGTATATTATATAATAAAACAGATATAAAATTTACATCAAATTTTATATCAATATGGTTAAAATTTTAATATATAATTTTTACATCTGTTTTGTTATATATTATATACGAATCGTCATTTATTTTGTAAGTGCAAATAAACACACATTGTCTTATTTTTTTAAAATTGTTTATTACAAAAATCATATCTTAGCCTGTATAATAGGGGTGTACCGATACCACTTTTTGGAGGCCGATCCGATCCGATATTTCAGATATTGAATTGATATCGGCCGATAACCGATCCGATATCATATCTAATTTTGTATTCTGCAAAGATACCTGTTTTAATTTTTAATATACTTTTTATTAATACAACATCTATAATTTTACTATACCATAACATGTCATTTAAATATATTATAATGGTCAGTTATACTTTATATTCAATTCAATTGCTATTATTTATATAATAAGTAATAACATTAATCTATTTACATAATTAGTAATAAAAAAATATATTATGAAATTTGAAATTAATATTTAAAATTAATATATCAAGATTTCTTTTTAGAAATGCCAAAATTTTCATGATATCAGAGATATGTCTGCGGTGATGGGGACTGTTAATATCACTAGCATCACTAAAAACAGATACTGAAGAGATTAATGAACACTTTTTTAAACAGAATGCGAAAAAAATAACTATATTGCAGAATGTTTATTAACTAATTATTACTATTAAAATAATTAAACATAAAAATATATTTCGATTTTATTTATAAAAATAAATGGTTTTTTAGATATAACTTTTTTTAAATTTTGTTAAAAGCGCCATTTTATATCTGATCGGATCGGAAAATTTTATAATATTTGCCAATAACCGATATTTTAAAATGGGTGAAATATCGGCACATCCCTACTGTATAATATTAATTAGATTTAAAATTAAAAAAATAGGATAAAACATTAACAGTATATTTTCTTTCTTTTTTATATGTATGTATTGTTTATTTATTTTTTTATAAATTGATGGATGTAGGGTAGGCTAAAAAATTTTTTTAATTGATGAAGGTTAATTATTGTTTTTGGGTATTTGTCACTAATATCAGTTAAAATTGATTATATTGGCCCGATATTGATACTTTCAGTGGCGCACATCTGAATATTTCTCCCAAAAATTATTTTGGATGGTGATTTATTTATCATTTCATGCAGTTTTCTATAAATAACTAATTAAAATTTGTAATGATTCTAATTCTTTATTGATCTTATTCTGATACGTCCTCGCGAAATAACGGGATGGGACAAAATTTTAATATTTCTCTCTAAACAGCCATTCGTTTAATGATTTGAGGGGAATTTATGACGTGATTTGCTAGAAAATGAATTCAGTAGAAGTTATGGTCGCAACACATTATAACTTTAGTCTTATCATCAAAGATTGTGGGGGAAGAGAACTAATGTTTAGGGTCGGGGGCCTGGGAAAGCCAGTAATAAATTTTTTTTGTTATGTTCAGATAGAGGAAACATGCCTATCAGTTAAAATAGAAAGTTAATCGGGTTTTTCAAAATCTGCATTTGTAATTAAAATCTTAACATCTCGACCACATCGTTGAAGTTGTATCTCGATTTCATACATGATTCTTTTAATTTGTAATTAAAATCTTAACATCTCGACCACATCGTTGAAGTTGTATCTCGATTTCATACATGATTCTTTTAATTTTTTCAGAGTTTGAAAAAAAATCTTTATTTGAAAGATTTCAGTATTTTCAAATTGACCAAAAATTATTGTAAGATTTTTTAAATTCATTCTAGTTTATTTACATAATCTCTAATGATCTCTTTTTCATTTAAAAGTTCCATTCTATTTTTAAAAGGTTTTAGGACTTCTAAAATAAAATTATTTTATTTTAAATGCTCAAACGCTCGGTCTTCCATTAATTTTGGATATAAATTATTTATTAATTAAAATGAGATTCGTTTTAAATAATTGCGATTTAATTAAAATAGTTTATAATACAAGTTTTTATATAAAAATTTAATTTTTAGGGAGATCAAGATCTAATATAAATTACATAGATACAGTGTTGTTAAAAGTACTTTTAAAAGTAGCACGCTATCGCTACTGCTAGCGTATTCAAAAATGTATCACATTTTTACGCTATTTTATAATATTTTTTTACCTATTTCCACAAATAAATAATATGACTAATCAAATATATATAATTTATTTATTTTTTATTTCATCTCAATAATTATAACATTTTCATTAAAGATGTGCAACGGGTCTATTTTTTAAAATAATAACAGTTTGGGCTGGTTGGAGCCTAATATTTTTTTTAAAAAGATCGGGTTGGGCTTAAATGTTTAAATATGATATCATTACATTTTGTCAAATAAAATTGATACATTTTAAAATTCTCGCCAGAAAAAAGACGCTAATATTTTTTAATATTTAAATAAATTTGGACCAGGCCAGGTGGTCAAATAATCTGGGTCGGACTTTTCAGGACAAATAAATAAAAATTTCGTTCGGGATCGGGCCGGTAAGCTATGACTAATTAATCGTTCAACACTAGCATTGCAGTATTAAATTTAATATACATATTTTTTATATAAGAAAATCATCAAAAATATTCTTTTTAGTATTTCCAGATCATGTATCTAAAGAATTTTCAATTGTAATATTATTTATTTCAAAAAAATTATCCATAGTAGATGGCATTTTTGATCTGGCTAGGGTCAGTCCAAAATTATAATAGTTATAGTCAGAATAAAAATTATGTAACGGATAAGTAGATGGCCAGGTTTGCCAACTGGTCAAGCTATCACCCTTTAACTTTTTATCTATTGAACCAATTTCTCTCAAAATTGTTTAAATGTGAATGGATTGAAATAAGTATTTTTTGTTTTGATAATATTTATAAATATTTAGATAGATGAGTGGTTAATGTTTAACATTCAGATAATAATTTATAAAATATTATTAAATAGATGAGTCTGATTAAAATGAAATGTTATTATTAATTATTTAATGTAATTCTTGATTTATCTTATGGCCAGCTGAATTATACCTTGTTTTGACTTGGCCAGAAAATAAAATTTCACATAGCTCAAAATCTATTGTAGATACATCTTTAATTCAAATTTTATTTTAAAGATTAAGGATTGGGCTACACATTGATATTAAATTTGTTGAATATATTACTTTTAAATCTTGTTTGATGATAAAACTTTCCGACAATAAAATTTATACCCTGTGCTAATTTTTTTTAAAAAATATTTTGCGAATATAGGAAAAGGAAATTCCATATTATCATCATTTTCCAGTGAAATTACTTTGTCGATATGATTTTTACCAAAATTTTCTTCAATATCAATCTATCGTCGACATTTAAAATTTTTAATTATTTTGAAAACTAGATTTATAATGCAGATATTTTTATCAAGTTCAAAACTAAATAAAAAGGTTATTTTAGAATTAATTATAAATATATTTTCATAATTATTATTGTATTTTTATATAAAATATAAATTAGTAGCAGGCTACCGCTATCGCTATTTTTTAAATATCACGCTACTTTAACACTGCATATATAGCTTATTGCCAAATCGCTTATGTAATATTATTCTGGCTGAAATCTAATCCTGCCGTTTTAACACTAAATGTAATGATATCTTCTTTGATTTTATAAATTCTCAACACTTTCATCAACAATAAATTTTTTATTTTCAGGTAAAAAATAAATTTATGTTTTGATATGATTAGTCTAAAAATTAATTGTTATCTTATGATTCGGTTGCGGCTACTATGTATTTATCATTTTTATTAAAAATATTTCTTATTAATTCAGTTATATATTTTTTTTGAGATTTAAATTAAATATATTAAATTCATTCTTTATCTTACTATTAAAAATTTCAAAACTTAGCAGGATATTTTTACATTTGCTTTGGGTATTATATTTGTTGTGAATATGATGTTGTATCTCATTGTAGGAGTAAATTTCTATAATTTTTATTTCTTTATTCTGAACAAATTTACTTTCACTCAGAAATAAATACTAGTCAAAGTTCGATTTTAAACCAAAGAATAAATATATAATTCTAAAAACATAAATATTTTTAAAAATGGGTTTTTAGAATTTTAAGAATTCTATAAAGAATTAGCTCAAGCCCACTAAAACAAACCAAAAATTGTTTAAGCTACTTTTCTGAATAGATTGCTTTCGGAATTAAAAACAAAAATTAAGAACCTCGGTTTTTTTAGAATATTTTTATATATAGGAGACGACTAATTTGGGTTATTATACTGAGATATATTATTCTAAAGTAAACATAATTCCTTTTTTTTGTCTTTCGACTTTTGAAATATTATATTATATCTATGTTTAATATTTTACGATATTTAAAAAAAGATTAGGATATAAGTGTTCGATTTATAGAATACATGCCTTTCCTTGACAATGGATGGGATAGATCCGTATTCATCCCTTACTTTCAAATGATCGATATGATCAAATTATCATACCCTTCCCTTATCAAATACGAAGGAAGTTTAGCCAAGGAGACCGCCAAGGTTTGTGTGCTCATGAAAAATAAAGTTTTTATGGCCTATACAAATATAATTATTCTGGTTTAATGATGTGTACTTAGTTTCCCCTGGTAGGCCACTTCACTATTCTCCACCTTCCATGATCCTTTCTATTATGTAGGATATATTCTTTCCATGCCATTCTCTATCGAAGGATATTTAGATCATGGGTAGGCTGTAAATTTTTCCCCAAAACCAGAGTCGGACTTGTTTATAAAAATGTTCTCTGATTACAATATATAAGGGATGAGAATCTAAAAATGAGGAAAAATTAATTACATATAAGGGGGTGGGGTTGGTTATTAATTAATTAAAGCAATTTTTTGCCTTAATAATATTTTTTAATATTATAGAATTTCTTTAGTCACATATTGTCATTTTTCTGACTCGTTGATAATGAAAAAGGAAAATATACCTTTAAAAAATGGCACAATTTTACTAAAAACTTTAATTTATAAGTAACAATATTTTAAATAACACATATAAAATAGTTTTGTTATTGTAAGGGGATGATTTTATTCTCTATAAAATTTAAGAGTTATGGTTTCGGTTCCAAACTGCTATGCTACAAATATACAGAATCAGAAGTAAAACTTTTAATTATTTTTTTTTAACTTTATTTTAATTTTTGCTTGTTCGTGTTGCCAAAGCTTTACAAAATACCAGGGTTTATAGGAACTATCGGGTTTATAACGACCATGAGTCAAAATTTTTGCGGTGACTGTAACAGATTAAGGCTGACTGCGAATGGCAAGCTTAAGGTATAATAACTACAGTATAATTTGTTGTGCCTAGAGCCTACATTTCCATAAATAGTTATTATAAAAATGGCTATTATTACATAATATAGGCTTTTTTCTATCAGAGTGGCTTTCATTTATATTTAATTCAATTTTCAATACGAAATGCTCATATTAAATTACTTAATGTTTATTTTTAAAAATAAGTTTTCAATCGATGAAGGATATTAATCAATTGAAGAATGATAAAAAAAATGTTATCCAATAAGGATATATTTAAAATTAAAATATTATACACTGGGAGAGGTGTGGGTAAAATATTTCTATTTGTTTGACCCTCCTAAATATTTTTTGACCTATTAATATGTATTATTATATTTGATATTAGAATTGTATATTTGGCGACAATTCATTGGATTTGAAATCTTTATTAAGGAATGACACTTTAAAAGACGATGATTTTGAATTAACTATCGTTGATCATATTAAGCGTTTTTTAAAGACAAAGAAAGAATATCACACAGAAAGTTACAAATTTATTTATTTTTTTATGTATTTTAAGTTCTGACTATATGTCATAAATTGACTAATCAAAACGTTTAAATTAGTTCAAATTATACAAGTATCATATGCATGTTTTGTTAAATTATTTTTTCCTTAATTGAATAACCTTAATCAATTTAGAGCAATTTGAATTATTCTAATAAAAGGTTCTTGAATCAAAATGTCTAGCTTCTATACCTTTGTCTTCAGTAGCAATTTATAATGAACATATTCACTCATATTTTCGCAAATTTTTGTAATCAATATTAACAAACATGAGTGTCTTAGCAAATATTTATGCATTTTTTTAATTGTTTGCGAAGACAAAGATTATATTTTTTATAAAAGGTCCATTTTGGTAACTAGGGCTGGCTTACATTATCAATGCAATACTGGTATTGGTTTGAACAATCGTACTTAAAAAATAATTAATATTTTTATTATAAAACTCTTGATTGTGTTAAAAACAAACATCATCATTTTCAAAAAGAGTTTAAGTTGGATGATTGCCCTCGTTCATTATCGTTAAATGAATGCATTCATTCAAAAATATCGCTATTACAGATTCTCAACTTACATGACAACATAGAAAAAAGAACGATATTATTTAATCTTTCTAAAATGATAAATATTGCAGTACTATATTTTGCGTTAAATTAAAATATAACTTGATAAATTGGACATAAATATATATTTTTAACGTTCTCCACGAAATAAAGCCAAAAATTTATTAATTATATAAGATAAGATATTTGCTCTAATGAATTTTTGAATAATAATGATATTGCTACTGCTTTTACACCAATGTATCATTATTTATCATCTATATGCCACTGAGTAGTGTTAGTAAAAACCTACGATATCTGATTTTTTATTGTAATGGTAAAACACCAAGAAAATATTCGTAATGTTGCCCCTACTGAGGATTCATATAAATGAACTTGTTTATATTAACGATATTTAATATTTCCTTTGATTGCGGTTTATAAAATTTACTATTCGCACAATTTATCGATCAACATTGCTTATTTACAGATATATTTTACTTACAATATGTGTATTTAAAGTTAATTATATATATTTTAGATGAGAACAGATCGCAAAGTTTACCGATGATTCAATTGGGTGGATAAAATTTATAATTCTGGTAAATTTATATGGTTATTTAGTAATTAATTAATTTTTAATTCGCCCTAATAAATTTTAAAATATTTCATTTTTATTTAATTAAGAATATTTTATTGCAATATTATATTACGCACTTATAATATTTCTCATGAGACCCAGAAATTTAAATGCCAAAAGTGCGAAAATATTATTACTATAAACCTTATATTATATTTTTATGAATCTTAGGTTCCCTGACCTTTTACATCCATCATCCATTATGTGAATTTTTGGAGCTAAAAAAAATTATATTTTATTATATATATATGTATACTCACTATATACGTAATGATCATAATTTCGTGTTAATTTTATTTCAAATTGTAATATATAGAGTTGACATTTTGATTATGTATAATCTAAATAAATTCAAATATTTTATTTTTGAAAATTTTAAAATCAATTTTCTCATTTTGAATGAAAACATAAAAGTAAGTACTATTACATTTGCGATATATTGAATATGTGGTTTTATAAGTGCAATTATGGTAATATAATAAATATAATAAAAGAAATCGTGCAAAATATTAAAAATATATTTAAATCAAGGTTTGGTAGACTAGCCTTCGCTTTTTATCACAATTGGGTTAAATATAAAACATTGTACATTATATTTCCTTCACAGTTTTGTAGAATTCTAACGATTCAACCATCGATTCTTTGAAGTTAAACAATGGGGTATAACCCAAAACTTTTTTACTTTTTTGCCAATTGACAACATGACTAGAGTAAAGGTAAATCAGGGAAGAGAGGGTTATTGGAAAATATTTTTGACAGAAAGGCACGTACTTAAATAGGTAATAGCAAAGTTTTGATAGCGCGCGAATGAATATTTTAGGCACGGCTCTTGGATATAGTTCAATCTTCTTAGCGTCGAAAAAGGGTTTGACCAAGTCATAAATGTTCATTATGGGTGTATCGTCGGCGATAAAAAATGTATTTCCGCCTGTTTTTTTATATATTAATATTTTGTGTTTTTTTTATATCTGCCTGTCATTCAAAATATAATTAGCAATCTTTGACCCTTAGAAATATTGATCTCTCTTTACGTCCTTGATTCAGTGGTTTGGTTTTTTATATTGAGAACTTCTTGGCTATCTACGTTCACCCAATTTTTCATAAATAAAGATTGCTTTAATTCTTACGATTTATATTAATATGATTTAAATTTGCGAACTCAGATCTTATCAGGCCAGATGAGTCGGACTTTATTCATTCTAACACATATGTGGCAAAAGCGTGTGATTTGGTAACACTCGAAATTAGGGGTTAGAAGAGTAGGAATAAAATAAAATATATGGACTAAATTTAGTGAAAATTATAAAATCATGATTGGTATTAAATTTATAACTCATATATAGTTTATTTTCTAAGGATTTATTCTTTGATCGAATAATAGAACATAAATAAGTTGGATGGATAATGGCGAACTCGTGAGGATTCATATAAGATTATATATCACCAAGCTAATTGAATAAATCCACCGCCAATGATTATAAGCAGTTTCTAAACAATTATAGGTTGGATGTGATATAAAAAGTAGAGGTAGAACGTAATATGAAAGAAGATTAAAGTTCGTATGACTAGCTATTTATATAAATATTATAATTAAACACATTTATTTTAATAGTATACTATATGTAATTTGACCTAAAACATGAAATATCTTTTGCCAAAACGAAAGTATATAAAATAGAATAAATTTCCATTGTCGATATTTAATTTAAATAAATTAACCTATTTGACTATTTCCCATTTTCATTGACTCCACTGCAATTAAATGGGCCCAAGCAATGTTACCAACGTATGCCGCTTGAATTTTAGCATTCCCTATGTTTAACCTCGGAAACCTATATTTTACTTCCATATCTTTTTTCTTTTTCCACCAAAAGTATGGTTCATTTCCTCTCAAACCAATCCTTATAAATTTTTTATAAACGATGAATCAAACCAATTTTGATATTTGAAAATCAAGATAGTGAAATATTCTTTTAAACAAAATTGCCTCAACTTTTTTTAAAAAAAGAATTTTTGTTCATTTTTTAAAAATCAAAACGATATTTTAAAAATACTACATTAACCTAATAAAATTTTAACAGTTAAGAAATTCTTTACTAAACATCCTTCTAATCATAAATTAGAACTCATACTTAACCCGAACCAAACTTTATTCAAAGGTATAAGATGAGATAATAACAAGTATATTATACCGTATAGACTCAGTTATAAAATAGGGGTCGAGTGGTCCATATATAGCGCAAGGTCTTAGGCAAACTGTCCTCATTACATGGTTATTAGTATTCATAGTATCCACATTCTGTAGACTTTGGCCATCGGCTTTTAAGACACTTAATTCCGCTTCTAACTTAGACCCTCCATAGTTAGGGAATAAATGAATTTCTGGATAGCTCTGAGTTTCGTCTAAATCAGTTTGAATCGATAATTTCATTCCCACACAAACGTCAACCGTACTCGTGTATATTAGTATGCTTATCCCTTGTTGCAAACACGCCCTGATCACATTTTTAGTTCCTTTCAAAAATATGTGTTATAAGAGATGAATGCCAAATAGTTGAAAAATTAGGAATACAGATTATTTAATAATAAATCGGCCCGGTCCCGTCAGTTAATTTTTAGAATTATTTTATAATGTTTTTGAATAAATATATACGATGTTAATATTAATTAGATCAAAGATTTTTTTAAAAAGAAAAAAAAATTTCCAATTTTATTTTTAATGCTATTCCCAAGCAAGTTTAAAAAACGTGCGTTATACTGCTATAGTATTTTTTATAGGATTACTAATTTGAAATATAATTAAAAATATGTATAAGGCTAAGAATACCGTCTGAGATACCTGACCCATTACGTTTTTTGTTAAATATTATGTTGTATAAAAAAATTAATTCGACTAATATCCTAATTGCTGGAGACATGCCTCCAAAACCAGTTTGAAGATATGCCTAATGTATTTTAAAACTGAAAAAACGTTCTGTCTGGAAATGACCTAGTATATTTATTTTCTAATTAAAAAGTCGATTATAATGGTGATTACTGTGTATAATAAAAAAGATAACTAATGAATAAATATATTTAACTTGCCAAATTTGATGATGTAAAAATTCAAAATTACATGTGATATCCACCTTATAATTATTATCTCCCTATAATGATTAGATTTAAGTAAGAATCCAGGTCTAATCAACGCATCCTGATGTTTATTACAACGGCATGCTCACTCTGATACATTGGTCTCTATGAGGAAATATTCGCACAAATGAAGTTAGAAAGAAGGAAAAAATATCATTTCTCCCTAAATCTTTAGGATGAGCACCATCTTATAGTGATCAACTTTTTAGAATGAGTAGCTTAAATAGTAAGTCAGGAAGTGGTCATGGTCATTATAAGTAGGTGATAAGTATAAGATGGTGACTATAAGCTGATCATAAATTTTTTGAGATTTTACCTCTTCATCCCTTTCACCTCCCCCCCCCCCCCCTCTTGTAAAAATTAAAATTTTCTTCAACTTTTAAGATGTACCTCTCCTTATTAGTACATATATTTAGAGTGTAGGCATATCCAAGATTTTCTTATGAAGGGGGGCAAGCACTCTTAGATGGATTTCCGCTATAAATTTTACTTGTGGTTTTCAGGTCCACTTATTATTAGCCTTTGGCAATGTTATATTTAATTTTGTTTATTGACCTATTTTTGATAAAAGTGCTTTTTTTTAAATTTTGAATTTATAGTCATTATTTTAAAAGAAATATTAACTTTTAATTATTTTTATTTCAAATTATTGTTCTTAGTGATATATTGTATACATTTTTTATGGAGGGTGGGGATTTTCTTAGCTTAAAATAATATTTACGAGAACAGGCTAATTTCCCACTTTCCAACCTCTTGATTACATACAGGGATCCAAACCCAACCTGAACCATTAAACCGCTAAAAACAGGTATTTTTTATCGAACCTAAACCGCTAAAAAAATTTCTGTAATGCCTGAACTGATTCGAGCCTCGTGATTTTATGCTTATAAAATAATGTGTAAGTTATTACTATTTAATTATATTCGAATCGTTTTAAAGATTATTATCAATCACATTTGATTTATAAGTATCAGTCATAATTTTTATAAACTTTGGTATATTGCCATTTTACAACATTTTTTAAAAATTTTAATGCCTAGAGAAAAATTAAGTCCAATATATAAATTATATACATATAATATTATAAATGACACATCAAAATGTAAAATTACTGATTATCAAATAAATATGAAAGGCCATCATGGAGTAAATCTTGAGCATCACATAAAAAGAAACCACCCTCTAGAATTCGATAAAATTAATAAAATATCACAACAAAACCTAATAAAATAAAAAAAATTTAAGATGTCATCAAGACAACAGACGATAGAAGAAGTAAAAGAACAAACAATATCAGTTAAACTAAATAAAAATAAAATAATCTATGTACTGAGTTGGTTACATTTAAAAGCAGACCATTCAAATTAATCGATGATAGCGGTTTTAAAAAAAATTCTTGATCATATATTAGAAGGCATGGGTAATATTAAAATAAATTCTTAAAATATTCAATCTAATGTTGCAGAATTAGCCTTAAGTATTTGGCAAAATATAATCAAAGAATTATCTCTAAAAATTAACTGTGTTACTTGTCTAGACAGTCCGTTATTAGGATTAATTTTCAGTATATTCAAAAACAAAAATTGTTCTGAGAACATTAGCAATGAAAGAAATTCTTGAAGGCCCACTGCAGAAAATTTAAAACTCCTTTCAATAAAGGTATTAAATGATTAAAAAATCAAAACATCAAAAATATACACTATAACAACTGACAAGAGGGCAAATCTTATTAAGATGGTAAATATTTATGGAGGATAGTGATGATCACAATCAAATGTCTGAAAATGATGAAGAACAAATGCAAGATATAGATAATTTGAATGATGTTTCCACTGGTTTCACAAATATACATGATGAATTAACAAGCAATCTTAATGATCCTCTATATAATATTATAAATATAATCTCATACTTTACAACTTATGGTAGATCATGTATTAAAAAATTGCTCAGTTTCTAATATTATCATTAAAGATCATACTGCCTGCAAGAAACTAAGGACAAAATCTATATCAATCATACTAAAAAAAAATAAACTTAAAAAGACCTATATTGGATTGTCACAGATGGTTATTCCTATAACATGCTAGAGAGATTGAATGAATTAAAAGATATGTGTGAGGAATTATCAGCATCATACAGTTTTTACAGCTTTAGAATGGGAAGCAATTATAGGGTTGATAAATATCATAAAAACAATTAAAGTAGCTAACAAGTACTTACAACTTGAGCAGCTTACTTTAGGGAATTTTTATGGCATATGGATAAAAGCTAAATTAGAAATTTCCAGAGTTGTTAAAAGATACTTTTTAAATGGATCTAGATACAGATACATTTTTTATAATGCTCTTATATTTGCATAAACCTAAATTAATATTATATTGTGAAAATTCATGAAATGAGCTAAAAAATTTATTGACGCGATATAACATTTATCAGAATATAACTAAAATAATGATTTTAATATAATATATGAAAATATATGATTAAATAATTATAAATAATTATTAGATTTCAGTAATAAAATATTTTCAAAATTTTGATCATTTTGGCATCCTCGTTTATCTGTAAAGACATTTTTAGCAACACTAAATAGTCTTTCCACAGGGGCGCTTGAAGGAATTGTAGTGTTATATTTAATAAATAACAATTTTATATCAGGGTATTCTTTAAAAATGCTAAAATCTCTACATTCATTTTTGAAAAAATTATTTAAAATTTGTTGATTATCAAAATTTAAATCCTTATTAGAAATTATATCTGCTGTAGGGTACTGAAAAAAATCTGAAATTAAATTATTTGTTTTTTTTGGCAGGTTATTTGCTTGCAGTCAGTTGATGACTTTGATAATTCACCAGCTAATCTTTGTATCAATTGTTATCTTTTATTAAGATTTTCTTCCATTTGCAACCATGTCCAATCAAGTTTAAAAAAAGGGTGGAGCATGGTTGCTATAATATTATCATATTCAAATAAGGTCACAATAAACCTAGAATTATTAAATATTTTTAATTTATTATATTAATTTACCTATCCTCAATCCCTTTAAGTAAGGCATCTAAGAGTGGTAAACAGAATCTCAGGTTCATTTCTTTAAAATTCTTTAATTTGATAATAAGTTGTGAAATAGTTGCACAGTAATAAGCTGTGTACATATACTTATCTCCCTGCAAAATATCAAGGGAATTAGCTATTGGCTTCATTAGCTAATTTAAAATAATGCTATATATATAAATATTATTTATAACTTACTAAACAATATTCATGAATAAAATCACATTCATTAGGTAAAAACCTAGGTAGTTTTATTCCATCACATATCTTGTCCACTTTGTCAGATTTATCTTTTATAATTTCTGACATTAATTGTAAGGCATTATAGGTGGAGTTCCATCTAATTATATTAGGACATATAAAATAACGACCAATATATTCCTTCTTAATAATCTCAGATGAAATAGGAGACTTATTTTGCCTATTCCATATATTTTGGCATTTATGTAGTGTTGTGCTATATATCTAATGAAGAAAATATTACTTATTTAATTAAAATTAGTTTTACCCTCTGATATTGTTTACACTGCATGGCTCTATTGGCATCCACAGTGGCTATAAGATTCAATGTGTGACTGGCACAACATTGGTGATGAGGTAAGCTAAATGATTCTGATAATTCAGAATCCCGTGGAGTATTATAAAGATTTGATATAGAAATTGGCACAACTGCTTCATCTTCCAGATCATCAATTGATTCACTTGTATTATTTTCAATTGGCTTGAAAACTCTTTAATAAATTAAGTAATCAATCATATATTATGTTTATATTTATTTATAATAAAATAAACCTAAAACATTTTATAAAATTTTTGGCATTATCTGTAATGGTCTTTGAAATTTTATTTTGAATGCAATAATCCTTAGCTATATCTTGTAAATTTTTTGCTATTTTATCATATGTATGACTACCAGTCATTCTTTTACAAGCCAACGCTATATTTTTTCTTTCCAAACTTATTGGATTTATATAGTGAGCGGTTACTTCTATGTATGAACTAAAAATTAAAATTTCATAAAATTGCTGAAATAATTTATTCTTAATTAATTATTATACAAATTGAAATGTTAGCTATACCGGCGATAGGCACTCCAACAATCTGCTGTTGTGCATATTAATGATGGTTCTATAAGACTTTTAATTATTTCTTTCTTTTCATTTTCCCATCTTTGGGAAATTCTACCAACAACTGTCTGTCGGCAAATTATATTTTTGTGTGGAGCCAAAGTGTTGATCATTTTTTTAAAAGAAGGATTTTCAACAATTGAAAATGGCTGCATGCCATCTATAATAAAAGCAATAATTAAATCATCTAAAGTGCCTTGAGTTAAAGTCAAAGGTCTTTTAGCAAAAATATTATTGGAGGATGAGCCTTGTCCAATATTTTCTTTAGTAGTTTTATTTTCCTTCCCCTTTTTCATTTTTGTTAACAAGGTTGGATGTTTTCTGACACGGCAAACATTTTACCATCAGAGAATTGTTTTCTTTGTTTTGAGATATTATTTTAAAATAGACTCTATAAATTGGCCATGGTAAAGCAATAGAACTTGTTGTTGCTTCCTCTTCTTCATCGATATAGATCTAAATAAATATATAAACTTAAAAATTTAGTTATAAAATAAAATTTACCATTTCTATATTGTAATATTAAAATTTGTATGGTTTATTGATAAACTCGGACATAATATTTAAATTAATGAATATTTATATATATTTTTTATATATAAGTTTTAATATTTTATGTATATATAATTCTTTATTATAGTATTAATAAATATTAATATATAATATATATATATTTATTTATTTCATAGCTCATATAAAATAAAATAAATTTTACAGTCAAATATTTTTATTTATAATAAAAAAAGGGGTATATAAAATGTTTCTTAAAAAGTATCTAAAAACAGATACCTCTAAAATAATATCTAGATACAGATACCTTTCTAAAAAATCTATCTGGATACAGATACTACATTTTTATATCTAGATACAGTATCTAGATACTTGTATCTTGATACTTTAACAACTCTGGAAATTTCTATTGTTATTTTACCCTTTGCTGGTTCATTTAAAAAAGAAACTACTTTTAAATAACAATGCCTTTTTGTCATGCATATATCTAAATTTAAGGTATGTTTTAAAAATATTATATTATATATCTTATATAAATTTAATTAATAATTTTATTTACCTTATCTAATAATTTTATTTTACTTTTATTTTTCTATATTCATAAAAAATAATAAGATTTTTTTATTTTTATCAAGTGCTTTTGACTGAAGAAGAAAAAACAAATGGAAATGTTTACCACCCGGAGATTAAAGCTAAATTTAAAAAAAAATGTTAATATTTCTTTTATTGTTAAGGGGTATTTAAAACGAATTATTAGTTATTTGATTCGATTCGTTACGAATAACAAAATTAAATCGAAAATAAAAAACTTTATTCGTAGAATAATATCCTTCCATTATTTGATTAAATTATTCATAAATATTAGATTCTAAGTATTCAAAATGTTTTTGAAAATTTTTACCTTTATTAATTTATTTCCACATAATAATCCTCTTTTTATTAATTTTTTTCACTAATAAAGTGACTTTAGAATTATTCTATTTGATTTTTATTTTCACCCCATGTAAAGATGACAAACAAATCTAAAAAAATTTTTTTACCTTGTACATTTACTTTTATCAAATAATCTCTGTCGGCAATCAACAGACTAGCGCAATGAATGACTATCGTGCCATCTTTGAAACTCTCGGCGAGTTCTTCGTAATTAAGGATATCGATTTTCCGTTTTGTTATAGGAATTTTGATGGCTTTTTTCATTATATTTTTTTCGACATCGATGGTCAGATTTTCTTCTCCATAATTACTGTTTTTAATATTTTTATCAATTATTCTAACTTCCTTGATTTTTCTAACTTTATTAGCTGCGAATTTTGTATTGTTATCGAAATCGGTATATTGGGGTCCATTCATAACACCTTTTGAGCGGTAGTCATAATGAGAGGAAGTTTTTAGATACTTTGGTAAATTTTGTATGATATGATGCCCTAAGAACCCGTTTCCTCCTATGACAATTATAACGTCACCCATAGTTTATGAAGAGCTAAATAATTTTTTTTAAAAGTTTAATATGAATTTTTATATTCAAAAGGTCATGCTCAGTCTAATTCATTATAATATATAATTCAGTCTCCATTATTTATTAGATCTGCATTAAAAAATGTTATGCACAATATAGTGGAGGCCACAGTCGGTCTTTGATCTGGAGGATACTTGGAAAACCATTGATAAAAACCTGGTTTAAACTGGTTTTTTTATGGTTTCATTTTTTTATATTTAATTTTAAAATATCGTATTTCTTATATACATAATTATTATAAATGATATTAAATAAATTCTGATATCCTTCTTCCTAAGGTGCTTAGATTTGAATAAGAGATTTTATAAGGTGAAGATATTTATTCCAGTTTTATATCATATTGTCTTAAGCCCCTTTATCTTTTTGTATTGCTTTGGGAAATGTTTGTTTAGATGTTGCTTGTTTAATATTTATTATATATACTAAACTCTGTTGCGGTTAATATATAGCTATTTAACAAGTTAATTAAAATATTAATAAAAGACCGGTCCGGATTAAGGACCATAGTTTATTAGCACAATTCTTTTATTAGCGTCACTAGATCCAATGCGGGAATCACAATTGCGGTAAACTTTTTTTAAATATTGGAAATGGTTCTAAAAAATTGAATTCTTTTTACCCAAATTAAAATATAATATATCAGAAGGAAATCTAAAGAAGTTAATTTTTAACATTTATTCCAATTCATTAAATTTATATCGTAAACGGGTTATTCCATGTCAAATGAGCAAAAAAATCAAGATTTTCGGCCGACCCCTTTCAATTTCGATAAAAAGTTGTAGACTGGTTATATATGTTCCCATTAGATTATAAACAAAATTTTAGCGCATTAGCAACTATATTAGCCGAGATAATCGGGGTTAAAGGTCCAAAAAACGTCTTTTTTTGCTTTTTACTGATGTCAAATAATTAGTTTTTAATTTAAAACTAAATATGATCAAATATTGAATCTAATACCAATAGCTAAGTTAATAATTTATGATTATGACAAAAACATCAAAATTAATTTTTTATAAAATATGGGTCATCTTATGGTCAGTTGAAAACTTGAAATTAATATTTCGAAATGTATATGATCTCCGATTTTTAATTTTTTTAAGAAATATTATCCGTTTACTATTTTTTTAATAATTTCTTCAACAATTAGCATGGCTGGATATTTATTTTAAAAAATATTGCGATTTTTATACTTTAAAAAAAATAGATGGCGCTATATATAATAGTTTTAATATGTTAAAATTTATTTTTTTATTGATTAAAAATATTTTAATGTATAATATATCATAAAATTAGATTATATAACTTTGTAAACCTTATTCCCTTGAGATATTCGCAGGATAAAAAATTTTAATAATTTTTATAATATTTCAATGTAAATTAAAAATAATTAAAAAATCCGACTAACATGCGAACAAAAAAGCAGGATTAAAGGAGTGCAGGTAAATTATTAAGGGAAAAATCGAAAATCATATAATTACCCGGCCTACCCCCCACCCCCACTCCAGACTAAGTCATACCCATCAAGACCAAGAATGTTATAAAATTGTCATTAACCAGAAAATTTCAAAGATTTTTAAAAAAATTTTAAGCGATATAATTAACAAAAAATTAACTAGTTATAAAATTTTGGGTATCAAATGAATTTGAGCATTCTCTATAAAATTTTTGATCAAAGTCTTTGAATTTTGAGCATATGTTTAACACTGAAAAAATTAATAAAAGTAAGTCAGCTGTTTTTATCTTTTCTTAAAATTATTAAAAATAAACTGATTAGCAAAATTAATTAGCGAATTTAATCAATAAATCACAGTTGCTAAAAATACAAATTGATTTCTTTAATATTTTTTCACAAACACCGATTCATATCTTTTACATATAAATATTTTTACTTGTCATTTAAAAATAAATAAATTTTTTTAAATGAAACCCTTAAAAGATAAGATAAAATGTTGCAATCCACTGAATAAAGTTAATCATAAAAATTTTAAAAAAAATTTAAGATCAGTTCTTCCATGGATGCTTTATATAAATAATCATTTATATCTTCAACAAAAAATATGTAATTCGTGCCGATACCAGTTAAGTAAAATTGGTCCACATATTCCCGAAGAATTTATATCCCCAATAACCCATAATCAGGATGCCTTTGAATCGATTAATGAAACATTACACAATATTGGAGAATCACCAATTAAAAGAAAACGTTTAATGGAGAAAAAATATCCTAAAAATAAAATTCAAAAGATTGAAAAAGCAATAAAGAGTAAGGTTTTAGAAATATCTGATTCCGAGATTGATAGTCCAATGAAAGAGGAAATTCTTATTATATTAAAGGATAACTTTGATAAATTATCAAAAAAATCAACAATATCAAATTCTTACAATTTTGCCTCAAGGATGGAGTGTAAATAAAATTCAAAAGGAATTCAACGTAACATCATACATGGCAAGAAAATCTAAAATGATGGTAAAAGAAAGTGGAATTCTTTCATTTCCAAAACATAAGGCAGGAAAGACACTAAACGAAAAAACATTTAAACTCGTCAAGGATTTTTATAGTTCTGATGAAATAAGCCGACTCATGCCAGGAATAAAAGATTGTGTATCTGTTAAAGGCGAGAAAGAACCAGTTCAAAAAAGACTTATATTAAATAATCTTAAAGAAATATTCAAGATGTTTAAGGAAGAATACCCAAATATATCAATTGGATTCTCTAAATTTGCCGAACTTAGACCAAAAAACTGTATTTTAGTTGGAGCTAGTGGCACACACACTGTTTGTGTCTGCGCTATTCATCAGAATGTGAAATTAATGACAAATGTAATAGTTGAAATTACAGCAGGAGAAGATTACTGTATAAATTCTTACAACTATCTATTGGCGCAAATTATTTGTAATCCATCTCAGCCAAAATGTTATTTAACAAATTGTGATCAATGCCCTGGTATAGAATCTCTTAAGGGACAATTATACCAATTGTTTCAGAGAAATCGTATAGAATATGTCACGTTTAAACAATGGATCACGGTGGATAGAACAAATCTTGAAACTATTATAAAGTCCGTTGATGATTTCATCGATTATTTATTAGAAAAAGTTCAAATTTTACTGCGTCACTCGTTTATAGCTAAACAACAAAGTTTATTTTTGAAGAATTCCAAAGAAAATTTAAAAGATGGGGAATTTTTAACAATTCTAGATTATTCTGAAAATTATTCCTTCATTTTACAAGATGAAGTTCAGGGATTTCATTGGAACAACGTGCAGGCCACTATACATCCATTTGTAGCATATTATAAATCTGGAGAAGATTTAAAAAATATAAATTTTGTTATTATATCCGAATCATTAAACCATAATACTAGTGCAGTCCACCTTTACCAAAAAAAATTTCTTAATTTCTTAACAGCCAAATTTAATTCTAAACCAGAAAAAATAATATATTTTTCAGATGGAGCCGCGTCTCAATACAAGAATCGCAAAAATTTTCTGAACATATGCCTTCATAAATACGATTTTAATATTCCTGCCGAATAGCATTTCTTTGCCACTGCTCACGGCAAAAATGCATGTGACGGTATCGGGGGAACTGTCAAAAGATTAGTTGCCAGAGCTAGTCTTCAAAGGCCAAATAAAAATCAAATCCTAACCCCATTAGAATTATATAATTATGCTAAAGAAAATATTAATGGAATTCAATTTGAATATATATCCAATCAAGAATATATCAAAGGGGAGTTAGCCCTTCGCAAAAGATTTAATTCTGCACTGCCCATACATGGGACCTTAAAAATTCACGTGGTTATTCCCATTGATCAAAATAGACTAAAAACCAAAATATATTCAAATTCTAAAAAATATAATATAAAACAAGTTTCGTTTTTAAATGAAAAAATTATATTTAAAAATATTAATGGATATGTAACATGTGTATATGATGATAAATGGTGGTTAGGATATATAATCGATAAATATGATACAAATGAAGAAGTAAAAATCCGATTTTTATACCCTTGTGGACCTTCAGCCTCATTTAAATTTCCCCTGAAAGATGATATTTTAGTGTTACCTAAATCTCATATTCTTTCGCTGGTCAATCCTTCTACTCCCACCGGTCGAACATATATATTATCTCCTGAAGAAATCTCACAAGCTAGCCAGGCTTTGTGTTCCTTTAGATGAAGTAAGATTTAATTAATTTATAAACTATCTTAATTAGGCTAAATTTGTGAAGATTTTAAAAATTTATGATCTGAATTACAAATAAATATATATAATGGACATTGTAATCGATTTAGTATGATATATATACATTAAAATATTTTTAATCAATAAAAAAATGAATTTTAACATATTAAAACTATTATATATAGCGCCATCTATTTTTTTTAAAGTATAAAAATCGCAATATTTTTTAAAATAAATATCCAGCCATGCTAATTGTTGAAGAAATTATTAAAAAAATAGTAAGCGGATAATATTTCTTAAAAAAATTAAAAATCGGAGATCATATACATTTCGAAATATTAATTTCAAGTTTTCAACTGACCATAAGATGACCCATATTTTATCAAAAATTAATTTTGATGTTTTTGCCATAATCATAAATTATTAACTTAGCTATTGATATTATATTCAATATTTGATCATATTTAGTTTAAAATTAAAAACTAGTTATTTAACATCAGTAAAAAGCAAAAAAAGACGTTTTTTAGACCTTTAACCCCGAATATCTCCGCTAATATAGTTGCTCATCCGCTAAAATTTTATTTCTAATCTAATGGGAACATATATAACCAGCCTACGATTTTTCATCAAAATCGAAAGGGGTCGGCCGAAAAGTGATTGATTTGACATGGAATGACCCAAACAGCGTATAGAATGTAATTAGGAAAAAAGATACATTATTTTAAAAATATCGTCATGGTTATAGAAAGGTTTTACAAAAAGAAGGCGACTTTTTTATCTAGATGGGGTGGGGCTCTTTTCCTACCCGTCACCATATTTACTCTACAATTAAATTTAGACGTTCTTTGAGTGATCTGCATCGAGCCTAATTTTTCAAGCCCAGCCAGTCCAAATTTTTTTTAAAAAATTTGTCTTGCCCACCCGATTTCGTTTTTTTTTATTTGTCCCGAAAAGCCCGACCCGAAATAAAAATACCGTCGTGCCTGCCCGAATTTATTTAAATATAAAAATTTAATTTTTTTTTTGATTGCAAAAAAAATTTATTTACAAATAAAAAATATTTGCACCTTGTTTCTTGCAATAATTTTAAAATTTATTTCACAAAATGTAATGATATCTTAATTAAAAATTTTAACCCTACACGGCCCGGCCCGAGATTTTTTAAAAAATATTATACCCAATCCAAAATAATTTCCAAAAAATAGCCCTAGGACCGGTCTCTAGCCGGGTACGGCTGGGCCGTGATCTGCAGATCTCTACTTTGAGCACCTTATTGCCTGTTCTCCGACACCTCTGTTCTGTTATAAATATAAGATATATAATTATATTACTTGCCAATTGATAGGAATTATTATTGGTTGATAATGGGAAAGAGTAATAATAGGATTTGTTTAATCAAAAAAACCTGAATTTTAAATTCCATATCATTTAGAGAAACGAGCTAACTATTCACTAAAAAGTAAAATTACTATAAAATATGCCATGTTATTTTGTTATTATAATATAAATAATATAATTTTAATGCCAACAAGAATAACAAAAACGTATATTTTGTTATTATTTTTAAAGCGCTTATAAATGTAAATAATCCAATATCATTAAATTATCCTATTTTTTAACAACTTTTTTATAGCGATTATGACATCGTGAACATTAAAACTGTTTATATAGTCATAATAATAATAATAATAATAATAAAATAATAATAATATATATTTGATTTAAAAAAACACAATTCATTTTAAATATCCTAGTCAGTCATAATAATAATAGAAATGATTAATATATTTGATTTAAAAATAACATATAGCTTGGTCAGATTTAATAAAATAAGTTATATATATGTTGTATTCCATATTAAATCAACCAAAAAAAGTCGATTCTCAACCCGACCCCCTTCGATTTTTTTAAAAATTTGCATGTTGGTAGTATATACACTAACTAATAAAAATGTATACTAGCTAATAACCCAGTGGCGTAAACAAGGGCCTCCGAAAAATTTTTTTTAATTTCAAAATAAAATTTTCTTATTGCGAATAATTTTATTTAAAAATCGCTTTCAATTTATAAATAAAATAATATATATACGATATCAAAATGAAATATATTTAAAAAAATAAATAAGAATTTTAAATTATAACATGGTTTATTAAATATATATTAAAAAATATATGTAAAATATTATATAACAATAAAAATATATTGTAAATTTTTTCTGGCATAGTTAAATTAGATATTTATAAATTTAATAATAAAATTTGTATTGTTAAACTAATTAGATAGTTTTAAAATTTTAATTAATTTTTTTATAATTTTTAAATAAAAGAAAAATCATTTAATTTGGTAAGAATAAGGAGAAAGTAAAGGTGATCGCTAGTATGTTTGAATTTTAAACCTAGAGTAGCTTCTAGATAGTTCAATCGCTTAAATATTGATGCATCTACGATTGAGGATTTTTATAAAATAAATATTTTTATTCCCCTTATTGATATTTTAATTTCAATTAAGGGTATTAGTCACAATTATTTTAAACAGCTTTTATTTTCTTTTGTCAGATGGGTCTGAATACACTTGAAACGCGAGTGGATAATAAGAAAATCTCAGAGTTTTATTCTGATGAATTATCAGGATCGTATGATAAGTTACTTTGTGATGTCGAATTTTGGTATAAAAATTTTGACAGAATAGAGTAATCTTTGAGACCAAAAAATGCTTTGCAGTTCATTTCCATATGTAATTTCACTTTAGATTCCCTGCTTAATATCAAAATATTGTTTTTTATTTTAGTTACCTTACCGATTAGAACCTGCATTGAAAGGTCTTTTTCAACTTTGAAAAGGTAAAAACCTATTTGAGAAATAGCACCAATGGATTCGTAATATTAAATATTTTTAAGGAGATTATTCAAGATAAAAATTTGCTTTTAGATAAATTAGCCAAATCTCAGAGAAAAGTAGACCTATTTTTATAAATTCAAATCATAAAATTGTTATATGATTATAATATGTTCTTAGTCATAAAATTTTTATATTCTAAACGTAATTATAATGAATTCTTAGTCATAATATTTATATATTATACTATTTTTAATAAAAATATTGCATTTGCAATAAGAGTTAGTGATTTGTATCGGACCTAATTTTTCAAACCCGGCCAGGCTCGAAATTATTTTAAAAACTTTTGCCGGTCCGGCCCGAATTTATTTAAATATAGAAATTCATTTTTATAATTACTCAAATTAAAAGATATATATTATATGGCGTTTAGTTTTAATAAATAAAATCAAAATTTTTTATTTTACACAAAAAATTCAATATAAAATTGATAAATTTAGATATATTTAGAAAAATTTCCATGGACCGACCTGACCCGGCCCATTTTTTTAAAAAATATTGGGCCCGGCAGGACCCGAACCCGATTATTTTAAATAGAATTAGGGTCTTGACCTCCTTTTCCTCTCTTGGCTACATCTATGATTATATTGTTATAAATCTGTTTTGAAAAAATATATAGCTAATGCTAGTATTTACTTATATAAGGTAATTGGGAGCAATTCCATATCTTCCAAGAGCAGTGGTGTAGCCATTTATCCAAGGGTAGGGAGTTAATAAAAAAATTGGGGTTTTCCCTAGACCCCATTTGCGCCTTCGACCAGGTTCCCCTTATGATAAATTCTGATTATGTATTTATGATTTCTCCGTGGTTATTTTTTAAATATTTAATGGGTTTATAATCTATGTCAATTTTTATGCTTAATTAGTACCTGTAAGTGTTATAATCAGTATCGTAGCCAAAAAAATTAAGAGCAACAAACTACTGGTCAATCTTACGATTAAAAAGAGACTGAAAGCATTTATTCTGAAAATTTTATTAATGTTTAGTGTTTAATTTATACTATTTTAATCTGTGTGGTAGACACTAGCGGGCCTAAAGTTTCAAGTCCGGCCCGGAAAATCAAATATTTTTATTTTACATAAAATTGATATATTTAAGATATATTTAAAAAAATTTCCAAGGCCCAATCCAACCCGGCCCGAATTTTTTTTAAAAATATTAGGCCAGACCCAGCCCGAACTCGATTTTCCTACTTTTGCAGATCTCTAATAAGAATTATTTATGTTTTGTTAATATACTCATTTGTATTAATTATAATTTTTAAATTAGATATTTTTTAAATACCGTACAAGAATTGTAATTTTTTTTTTTAAAATAAAGTTATCTACAATAAATTTTTAATATAATCTGTATAAAATTTCTACATTTTGAAATTTATTTTATTGTATATTATCATTAAAATAAATATAGAATTAATAATAAATAAAGTCTATAATGAAATTCTCTGCAAAATTTTGTTATATGCAAAAATTTAATTAAAATAATTATTTTTAACATAGAATAAGATATATTGGGTGATCATAAAAAATGGGAGGTTTGGGGGGGGGGGCGATTTTTTTCTTCTTTCTACACCGAATGGATTGAATTAATTTACAATTGACTAAACATTGATAAAATTTTCAGAATAATGCTTTCAGTCGCTATTATTCATAAATTTGGCCAATATTTTGTGATTAAATTTTAAAAACCCCCCTCCATAGATCTATCCTGGTTACGCCACTGTAATAACCCGTCAAGAATGACGGTGTTTAGGGGTAATTAGTTTGTGTATATGGTACTAAATTTACTTTATTAATATATGATAAAAATATTAAAATTTAGGCGAAAAAAGAGGTAAATTTATGAATCACACTTCATAAGATATTCTTAATTTCTGATTCATCTATAATCGAATAAGAAAGAAAAGTATGATGACTTCTCTTTCTTAAAGGGCAAAATGAAAAATATATAACTAAGAGTACTAGAGAAGAGCTCCCGTTAGTCACCATTGTTGACTACGTCAAAAATGACAGGGAATGAGAATTTTCTCCTTACTCTTATGATAGTTGTTGCCTCTTATTTGAAAATAATATCCAATTTTTATTCTTTATAACCCCTTCCCACCTTCAGGTCAGGTCCAATCCATTAAAACTAAGTTTAAATGCTATATTTTGAGTCAAAATATATTTAAAGCTTTTATTGATACCCATATCAATATTATTTGTTAAAATATTAATGATTATTCATGCCTAATATTTAATATTGAAAAAATTCCCAGCAAGGTCTAAGGCCATAATAATTTTAAAAAAATTTCCCCAACCCCATAATAATTTTGGTAGTTGAGAACTGGAATAAAATATTTTAAAAAATCATAATGAATTTAAAAATACAATCAAAATCAGATTTTATAGGACTTGGTTTATATGTTTTAGGTCAATGTCTGATCCATAGTTAATAATAAAAAAATTCCCAAGCGTCCAAGCTGAAAATAATTTTAAAAGTTTTGCCCAAGAGTAGCCCAATATAATTTATAAAAATATTTTCCATGCCTAGCCCGACCCATTATTATTGTAAAAAATTTTTCTTAAACATGGCCAACAGATAATAATTTTGTCCAGCCCGACCCATTATAATTTTTAAAAAAATTTTCTCAAACCTGGCCAACCGATAATAATTTTGAAATTGTTTTCCCGAGCCTGGATATTTCATTAAACAAGATAAATATTGATATAAATTACTTTATCATAATATAGTTTCATACATAAGAAGAATTATATTACAAAATTTAATATAGAAGGGGGGTGACTGAACCTTTATCTATCGAACGTTAAGTCAGTGGTTCGAATCTCGTTGATGTGTAAAAAAAAAATATTTTTAAGTTTTCTTTTTTTTAAAAAGAATAATTTAACATTAGAGGTATTTAGTCTCCTTCGATTTATTTAATATTGAGATATAGGAAAGTTGATACCAAAAATAAAAATTGACATTGATTACGGCCATTATATATATAAGATAATGAAAATATGTTTTATAATTTAGCTGCTTTTAGACGTTTATATAATGCTTGAAAATTTTGATAGATAAAAAGCAGCCATTTTGTATGACCGTTCAGTATGATTGTTAGGTGAAATGTGCCATCTATTGTATATTCCTTACCATATAAAAAAGCATAAATGCCACCTTAATAATATTATCATAAAAAGAGTAAATCTTTTAGATATTTTATATCTTGTATTATAATTACAACCGAATCAAACTTTTATTTTTTCTCCTTATTTAATCAAACACCTTGAATTTGATTAAATTCCAAATTAAAAATTATCATTTTAAGAAAGTAAATTATATGAAAAAAATAATATATAATATTTCTAAATAAAATCCCATTTAATACAAGGTAGAGGTCTGCATTGGGCGGGTTTTTAGACCATAAGCAGCCCACCCAATGTTTTAAAAAAATTTTAACCACCCGCTCAGCCCGCCCATAGTTTTCAAAAAAATATAACAGCCCGCCCGCCCATTAGTCTAAAATTCCTTACCCGCCCGCCCATTAGTCTAAAATTTTTTACCCGCCCACCCATTATTTATAAAAAAATTTTACCC